GACGCTCCTTAATCCCGAACACCTCGAGATGTCCCTTTCTTCGGGCGCCCCCAGGGCCAGAGACTGGTTTGAGTGGGACGAGGCGGCCACCTGGGTTAGGGATCCCTTCTGTCCTTTAGGGCTCCCTGTGCGTGTCCTGTGCAACCCTGACGCCCACTCCCTCCACCGGGGGGCATTTTGACCCGGAAAGAGGGCTGAGTGTGTTTCTTGTCGAATCTGACCCCCCATTGTTCACCTTTCGCTGCGCGCGTGGCTGTGAGCGAGTGTCCCCGGGGTGCCTGGCACCTCTCAGTGGACCCAGGAAAGCAGGGAGAAGGAGGCGGGCCATCGCCAAGCAGGTGTGGGGATGCCCCATTGTGTGTTTCTCTTCTTGTGCCTTTGGGAGGCCAGTTGGGAGAGGCCCGCGCCCAGCTGTGGGCGCTGCTGCAGCTGAGCGACAGCACTTTAGGTAGCTGCTTGCTGCTCCATCACTTGGTGGTGGTGGTGGTGGTGGGGTTGTTCTTCCAGAGGCGATGCCCTGGCAAGGTGGAGGTTCTGCACCTGGTTTCTGGATATTGTTTTCACCTGGGGTCTGGAAGCCAAATGGGCTGCTTCCCATGGCTCATTCTGTGGTTAGCACCATGAATATATCCATGTATTGACACTTGCTTGTTTTCCAGCCTTTTCCCTGATGAAGGCTGGACCCACATTTCCTGGGTGCAAAAACCTTATAGGGGCTTGAAAACCAGCTTCTCTGGAGCTGCAAAGATCTGCAAAGAAAGGCAGATCTGGGAGCACCTCCCACTCTTGGCGCGATCCCGCTGCTCTGGCTGAGGATTCGGGGTGGGATGGAGTGAGCCGGGCTTGGACGCCCCCTCGGTTCCTCCCACCACCTGAGAGAAGTCGTTGCGGGAGGCAGCAGAGGGCAGGGCAGGGCATAAACAGCTCGGGCTGTTTTAACTTCCTCCCACCTCTGGAGGTAGGGCTTTCTGGAGAGGGAGAGGAGAGATGTGGAGGAAGGCACTGTGGGTGAGAGGAGCTGTGCTTGAAAAGGAAAGGAGAAACGGAGGAGGAGGGCTGCTGATTTCCGCTTGTGAAACTGGCAAATTTGGAGCTCAAACTTTTGCGAAAATTGAATTTTCATCCCTAGTGTGGAAGTTTTAAAAGATTTATGGTGAAATCTTTTCACTCTCTGAGTTCTCCTCTCCAAGGTATAATAAGAAAGCTAGATGTTAAAACAACAAACCTCTCTGGGAAGCTGAAATGATTGGGTACTTATATACCCAAAAGATGGTGAGGGAAAGGCAATGAAAGGAAAAGGAGGTGGTATGTTGTAAACCAGCAAGGTTGGATTTGTTTGTTTAGCCTATGTAGAATGAGCTTCTTTCTATTCTCAATATTTTAATCACCTGACAATTAAACCAAGCCCAGACATCTGATTAGTGATGTGTAGCTGACATATAGTTTCGTTAGATTGTAAACACCACCTTGTTTACAAGAGGATTTTGGAATTAACAAGGTCAGCGTCCCCTCTCTGTTTTAAAAATTTAGGAGTCTGAATTTCACTGCTGATCATTGGGGATTTGATGATTTTAGGCTTGTCAATGGGAATAACCATGGAAATTCTGTGAAAATGAACCTCCTTTGTTATTTTCATAGAATCCTTTGGGGTTCTCGGATGCAGCAAAAGTCTCCATCTGATAGTTTTTTTTAAAAAACTCGATTTTTAAGATATTTTGCTGACTTATGCAGTACAACTGGGCATAATATTTTTCAAAATAAATTTGACTTAAAAATGCATGGTCCATTTTTATCATCCCTTTGAAGTACAGATAGATTACATTAAAGAAGAGGCAGAGAAATATCTGTCATAATTGCTTCTTATCTAATAGCTAAAAATCAAAGGCATATGTATGCATTCTGAGTTCTTTTAAAACAGAACTTTTTTTATTTTAGCAAGAAATTCTTTTTTGCATGTTAAAGATTTATTTCATTTCAAATTGGTTTACATATTGTGCATTTTTATATATACATTTGGCAGTAGTGAGCCAGCGGAGCCTCCAAAGCAGTAGGCTATTTTTGAAAGTGAGTGTTTTCACTAAGTTTTGACTATTTAGATTGTTGCTTAGGAACAAGTTTAATTTATAGTTTTCAGTTTAATATCATTTTCAGTGGAGTGTTTTAAATTTAGTTTGTGATCCTTGTTCTTAGCTGTTTGAATCCTGAAAGCATCCCAAGTGTAAAGCGGGCTAACAATTACATTATTCAATAGGATCGTATTAATAGTCTTTGCTGTGAACCATGCTGGGAGACATGGGTTATTTTCAGTGTCTTAGCCAAATGTGATGACTTTTATAGGCCATATTGCTATTTTAACTCCTAATGGATAAGGCAGTATGGAAAAAAAAAATCTTCCTGCTTTTTATTGTCACCAAAGAATTTAGGAATGAAAGGAAAATGGAGATCTTTTAAAAGCTATATTTGGGATACCAACCAGCAGCCTTACCATTCTGAGCTTTCTTTAGCAGCTAATATGCAAAAAAAAAAAAATAGGTATAAATTTTGTTGCCATGGTGATAGAGACAAAGAGAAACTTGGACAATATGTTTGTTTAAAAATGCACAACAGTGATTTTAAAACAACTTAATGGCTGGATTGTTGTTTTGGTGGCAATATTGAATGTAAACACAATGAGAGAATCTTAGTTGATTTTGCTAATTTTTAAAAGCTAAATTGTTGTCCTATGACAACTATAAATATTGAAAGTTTCACAAAATAAAATTTGCTGATTTATCACATATCATTGAACATTTACAAGTGGAAGCATCATGAGTAACATCTCTGCTGACCTAAAGTGACGTATCGCATTAATAGAAACTGACATACACCAAGAAATCATAGGAGAAATTGTGGTGTTATGAGAGGCACAAATAATTTGCAATAGAAGTATTGGGAGAAACAAGCAGAGAGAGGGTTCCTATTGGAAGGATCTGGAAATGCTGTACAGAATGAGGACATTTCACCTGGGGATTAATATAAAGTGGATGTGGACAGAGACTGCCTGAAGGAGTGTGCACCTGCGTCTGGTTCTTGGGGTTCTTTAAGTCATGGCACATATAAAAGACTTTCAAAAGTGAGTGCAGAGGTTTCCATTTTGACCTCAGCTGTATGCTTTAGAAAAAAAATAGTTTAAAATTTGAAAAAATTGAAATAAAATTTCCTCAGAGGTTAGAATATGACTGTTTTCAGTGTGATGCTTTTCATTCTTCTTAAATTATAAGCAGTATGTTTCTGTTTGCACCTGCTTTGTTTTCTTTGGACTTTATTATTGTCATTGCCTTTGCTCTCGTCATTGTTTTTCTTACAGGAGCAGTTTTATGTAGAGGAAAACGTTTGTATTATTTGTAATTGAATTCATGCCTAGACTGAATTGCCGGTTGGTTCTGTCCTCATGTGCGTCACATAAGTTTATGAGTTCAGAAATGTTTCATAGTCTTAGTACTCAGTCATTTGCAGATATCTGCTATTGGTCATATGTAATCAAGGATGTGACAAGGAGAGAACAGACTCAAAGAGGATTGTGTGAATTTATTTGCAGAAGAAATCAAAGGTTACTTATCCCAGTGCCAGTCACATGGTAAGCATTTTACAGATGTCTATTGAATGAAAAAAAAAAAAGGAATGAAAATCCATTAAAAAACTATGTCATCATAATTAATGTTGGTTGGCTAATTGGAAAAATTTTATTACCAGGTTATAATGAAATTATTGTCCTATGGTTTTTATTAACATTATAGATATTAGAGACCTTGAATCAAAAGATTTTCATTTTAACCCTTTCTAAACTGCTTTTCTCAATGAATTTGAAAAATGCTTCCAGATTTTTAGTTTAATTTTCAACACTATTAATTTTCTTTTTAGATTACCTCTCTTCCAAATGATTATTGAGGCTAGCGGTATAGTGGTGGTGACTGTACCACTTCCATCCAGAAGACTTGTGACAGTAGAGTCAAGGCCATATTACCCATTTGGACTTGGAGGAGGGGATGATTGAGGATAAGGTGTAAATGTGGGAAAGTCTGGAGACAGAGAATGGGAATAAAAAGAAAGATTGGCCAGGAAGGAGCCAGTTAGGCAAGGTTTTTGAATAGACTACAGATACACAAACCACGGGAATTCAACTTTAAATGCATCTAGGAAGGATGAAGCCATATCTCTTCCCAATTTACATGTACTTGCTGCCTAAACACATCTGAATGTGGCTTTAGAGAGAGCCTTTGTAAGAATCCTCTTGATTGGATCCTCTCTATGGGAGCTCTTAGAAAAGGAGATTTGTCTTTTCTCCTTGATGAATTGGTAAAGAAATAGAGAACAGACACCAGAGAGTGATGATGATGGCATTGACAGTAAAGATTGACAGAATTTTAGTCTGATCTTTTATAAATAACCTTTACAAAGATGACATCATGTTACTAATGCTGTGTGCACAATGGTGTCATCAATGCGGAACCTGATTTTAGGGAGGAGATTATCTCTGAATAAATTTTTAAGAAACAACTAATAACTTGAGGATCTATTTGCAAGGTTAGTATAGTAAATGAAGTATAATCAAGTCAACATTGTTTTGTGGAGTGAGTGCTTATTTGTAAATTATTTAGTTTTGACATTGCTATGTTTCATGGGAAAGACAACTGGAATGATTCCAAAAAGTCTGCTTGAGTTCTCCCACAAAAGGACTTCATGGCTGCAAGAGTATAATTTAGCCTTCCATGCCCCAGCCTCTTCACTTTGAAAATCAGCATGCTGACATTTGCCACCTACAGATCAAGACAATATTCTTCAATGTATTGCAAGCTTCTGAAAGGACAATTATTAGGTGGAAATACTTTTATTTTTTCTGAGATGCAGCCTATTCTTTCCCTGAAGAGGAAATGGAGACTGAGAGGAGTTTTGAAAGAAGGAAAAGGGAGGTAGCTGGGCCTAATTATCAGATGCTGTCACCCCTGACTGAGTACTTTTCTGCTTTTCATTTCAGCTTTCTCTTAGTTAAAATTAGTTACATCCATTACCAGTTTTCCTTCCTGACATTGTTTCCTTGTCAGTATTACCGCCTCCCAATACACTGAAAGTGCCTTGTCTTGCAGGAAAGACAAAAGACCCCAGGCAGTGTGGTTGACTTGAGGACCCTTTGTTCTCTATATGTTGTTTTAAAGATTTCCCTAGTTTAGGTTACTCTAAATGATTTTTTAAACAATCAATGATTGATTGAATGCTCAGTTACTTAGTTGCTTCTAGAGTGGACTATAGCATTGTATCTTAGTTGCCTGTAGAATGTTGTACCTTAGTGAGCTACAACATTTCATGCTGTTTTATGCTGCAGGCAATAGGCACTTAATACCAAAAGTTGGGGGCAGGACACATTTGATAAAATCAGGTGAAGATGTGATATTCTTGCTATCCTGACACACCTAGTAAATGTGAGGGAATAAAGTTACCAGAGAATATAAATTTAGTACTGTAAGTAAATGTAACTGGCAGAATATGATTAGTTGATAGATAAGTTAATACAACAGACTCTAAGTCCAAATTGAGAGAAAAGATTTCTAGAGTCACAAAAATGGAAGCTATGCTTCTTGTTGAAGATAAATATCAGATGAATATGAAGAATAAGGACCAGGGAGAGCAGAATCAGAGGTATGAGATCCTCTCATGAAAACTCACTCTTCCATGTAGAGAGAGAAATCAGGAGGAATAATTTCAAGGCAAGAGGTAACGACAAATTTTAAAATGGTCTGAATTCATGAGAAACATTGTATGTTCTTCATGAACAGTATCATAATTGGCTAAATTCATATTCTATGTACTTAAAATTTGGACTTAGTTTTTTCATGTCAATAATTCAGTATTAAAATTGTGATCCTTTTGAAGTTTCAAATGTTTCATTGCTTTCTCTTCTTTATGGTCCTTATTTATCCCAAAGGAAAAAATCTTACTTTCTTAGGAAATTCTAAGTGCATTACTATTAGCATACACTATTAAATGAGGAGCAACCCACATTTCTGTAACTTCTAAGCAAAGAGGCAAAATCAATTTTCCTCAAGTATTTCTCATAGGCCTTCAGTCTTAGGGAATGACCTAAATTTTCTCAGTCCATCAATACAGTTACCCTAATGGTAAATGAAATTAGGATGTTTGGGGCTGGAGGAGTTTTTAGAGATCAATTAGCTCAATATCCATATTTACTGATGAGAAACCTGAGAACCAAACAAATGAAATGACTTGTCCTTCTTTGCTGATTGCTCATTAGCCACATCTCTTGTGCCTTTCAGGCCATCTGCTCTCTCAGACACCCTCACTCTTTCTTCCTTAAGAGAGATTGATCAAAAGTAGGCACAACTCACTGGGTTTTAAGCTGGGCAGAAGTAGAGAATGTGTTTTCCTAGTAGAACTGTTTCACCTAGCAGCCCGGATAAGACTGGTGTGTTTGGGTAGAGAACTGAGGGGCACTTAGCCACTGTGGTTCCACCATGTTCTGAAGGCTTTTTGGCCTCCCATCCATGTGCCAACCCCATTTATTCTTTAAGGTTATGGGCAAGGCCCTTTGGCCCCATTTGGCTGTGACTGTAGAATCCCCCTGAGTTTTAAATTTAGGGGTAGGAGAGTAAGGTATCCTTGGTGGTGACCTGTTTTCAGTTTTAGCAGTGTAAGATGACTCAATTCAGTCAGGTTCTGTTTTTATCTTCTCCTTCTCTCTCCTTCACTGAGCCTGAATGAGAAGATTGCCCTCTGTACACCTACCATAAGTAATTCACGGTGCAAAACTGCTGTTGAAAAAGGGTGTCTCTCCTTTTTCATTTATATATAAGCCTAAATATATTAATTATAACAAATTAATAATTAATATATGCTACATTAACAGGAAAAAATTAATATGCAATAAAAAAACAATGCATCAGTATAGCATACACCAATATACATGATTTGTTGTATCCCAAAGAGGATACAACAATAGGATCTTCTCTATTTGGTGAATAGACCTGGGTTAGATTACACTGCCATGACAGATTTTTTTTTTCCCCCGTATGAGATAAGATCCATGCCAGATGTTCGTACTGTATGCATTTACTGCATATACTGTCTGGTGCAATTCCTTAGTAGCACTTTCCCTGGCATATAGTACTTTTCCTGGCATATGGATCAGACCTTAAGAGCAGTCATTAGAGTTAAAATCCAACAGGTATGCTTTATTTTTTATTTTTGAGTTTCTTTCTGTTGCTATGAGAGCTAGGTGTAAGAAAGCTTAGACTGTTAGCATTTCCTTGGGGTAGAGGGGTTCATGTTTTTTTGAGTGCCCTGATGGACAGCTTAGTTTTTTATTTGGCATGTTTTGGATCTGTTCTTTTTTTTTTTTAAATTAAATTACCAGGGTAGTATTTATCAACAGGAGATTTAAAACAATTCCTTTTGTTCTTGAATCAAGAATCATTAATGATTTTTCTCTATATCTAAGTATTTTTATCCCATACGTATATCAGATGAATGCCCATTCATATGAAACAAAAATGAAGGTTTTTATTGGAACTTTTGCTTCTAGGCTTGCTTATTTTTCTAAAATTACCAGAGTGCTTTATATTTATTTATAAAATATCTAGAACCTTAAGATCACCACCTATTTTCATGCACTTTTGTTTTTAAACCCTGCTTTGCCAGAATAGGGGATGGGAACATCAGATACGGAGAATAGCAAATTGAAAATATTATTATTATTGGAAATTGGGAATGAGTGGTGTTTTAGTGAGGAAGTATAGATGGAGGTATAGGGGAGAAGGAAGCAGACACACTACATACCTAAAATAATATATATCACCTATATTATGATGTGAGATAGATTTCTAAAATATTCTGTGACAAAGTTTAGCAAGAACCCTATAAACAGTAATGGTGGTAGTGGTGGTGGTGGTGGTTATTATTATTATTTCCATTACTGGGAATTGAATCCAGGGGTGCTCTACCACTGAGTCACATCTGCAGCTCTTTTTATTTTTTTATTTTGAGACGGGTCTTGCTGAGTTCCCGAGGCTGGCCTTGAATTTGCCATTCTCCTGCCTCAGCCTTCCAAGCAGCTGGGATTACAGGCATGTGCAAATGCATTTTTTTAAAAAAAATGAATTTCCCTATCAATTGATGGTAATATATAGAAAAACAGAAGTGTTGTTTGCAGGTCACGGTTGTGATGTCAGTGATGATGGAAGCAGGGCAAACTCTCCTGACTCAACATGAATCAGAATCTTGGCAATGTCTTCTATAATTTATTAGTTTTTAAAAGGGAGTGCTTTGCTTATGAAGCTTCAGGGAAACAAGCACAATAAAACATACAATTAATTAAAATCTTTAGAACAACCAGCAGCAACATTAATAAAACATTACCTTTTAAAGCACATAAGAATTGCAGCTTATTCTCCCATCTCAGTAGGGGGGAAAGCAGAATAAAAGTCTGTCTTTCATCATTGTCAATAAACTGAGTTTATTGGACTTGTGCTGGTAGTTTTTCAAAGAATAGGCTCTTAGCCAGTGTCCCACTTCTCCCTACATAAAACATCTGGGATAGTAAAAACAATTGCCAGCCTTTATTTAGCACTTACTTCACTTATGTGTTCTTATTTAATCCTCACAAGAACTTTGCAGAGTAGATGCTAGTGTTACCATTGTATAGATGAGAAAGCAGAGACTCAACCAAGTTATTGAAATGCTTCTCAAAGTGTCATCCAGCTTGGACCAGCAGCACCAGAAAGAGCTTGCTTATTAGAAAGGCAAACTTACAGCCTCTCTAACAATCAAGAAATTCTGAATCAATTTCTAGAGGTAGAGAGAGACCTGCAGCCTGTTTTTTAAGTCAAAGTCTCCAGGAGATTCTTACATGCTAAAGTTTTAAATAATATAAGATATAATACTACAGTAGAGTTTGGGACCTGCTATATTGGATTTTACTAATGACAGGGGACATCTCTGAGTTGCCTTCTAAGCTGTGCTCTCCTTCAAACCTGCTATAGGTTTAGCTCTTCTCTTTTTCCATCTTTAGGCCCTGCCTTCCAAATAACTGCTCACTCTAGTGGGTATGTGTAAGAAGAAACAATTTACATAGGAAAATTCTTTTAAAATCTTTCTCAAGGGATCCATCTAGGTCTTGTCTCTTTCCCATTTATCATTGTGTCCCATTCCAGATGGCTCTTTTGAAGTGAGATATGACTAGCTCTGGTCAGGTCTTGTGAAAGCCCCTGAAGTTGTTCGTGGTCTCTGCTGTGTTTACTCCTGCTTATGCACAAAGACAATCTGGTGGTAGATGTAGGTGCTAAGCCAGTTGTTACTGCACTTACAGAACGCGTATTGGAATTATGATACTGTATGATACTGTATGGTCAAGTGTGTACACAAATTGGATGTCCTGGTTTTACCATTTACTGGTTACATGATCTGTGTATGTTATCTGACTTCTCTGAGTTGTGGTTTCCCTAACTAAAAAAACAGAGATGGTGATGTCATGTGGATTAGATGTCATGTCATTATTTCTTTGAGAATACTTTGAAAACTGTTGGGTGCTATACAAATGTGAAGTAATGTTCTGGAATGCACTGAAGAACAGCTTCTGAGGTTGGGTGTACCAAGAAATTTGGGGATAGATATGAGTTTCCTTCCAAGGATGGGATAGTCAAAGGAAAGTTTCCATAGAAGAGAGAAGCATATTGTGTGTTTTTGGAGGACTTCAGTCTTTGGACTCACCCAGACCCAGCTGAGAACACATTAACTGATCTTTTCTCCACTCTATCTGTAATATAGATGTTAGAAGACCTAATTGTAAAAGTTATTGTGAGGAAAGAAGTTGAAGATAAAAGAATTTGGATCCAGTGGTATATCAATGTTATTTAATGCTGTAAGATTGGATGTAGTCATGATGGAAGGAATGTGGAGAACATGATAGGGCTTGGAGAGTACTGTATGAGAAGTTATGACCCCCAGGGCCATTGTGCTGACTCCTCATAGTGCAACTGTGTCTCTGGCAGGCTGACTTGTTCTAGCCTCAGCTCCACACCTAGCCCTCCTCGTAGAATAAGAAGCTACAGGGAATTTGCCTAAGAAAGCACTTCAATAATTTAATTGTAGAGTTCCACAGGCCCAAATAACTATAAGTGGGTTGTGGTTCAGGCTTATTAAAAGCGAATCTGTCTGCAGTGAGCATGTGTATACATGTTGGTGGGGAAGGGTGGGCAGTATGCAGAACACGTTCCTTTGAAATGGGTAACTATTAGTTGGCTCTGTGGATTATTTCCTTTGGAAATGTGAATCTGGGTTTACCTAGTCATTCTACTTTTGAAGAGAAGCCACAATTCTAGAATTATGTATTTATTTATTTGGTGATATTTTCAAATTTCTTTTTTTTTCCTTTTCTTTTTTTTTTAATGTAGTTTGAATGTAGGGGAAAGTTTTTCTGTGGCTCAAGTAACACACATCTGTGGGCCAGATTTGGTTGTAGGTTGCGCACTAGTGGCCTCTGCTGCAGAGTGTTCTATAAACATGACCTGTTATTATTGGGTCTCCTGGAATTTATAATAACCTCCCAGGAGCCTTTATGTTGGGACCCTTCTAAGAATACATCTGTGTTTTCTTTTCTGCCCTCCAACCAGCCCCCACCTCACCCTGACATATACCAGGCCTGTTTTGACATAACTCCAGGGACTCTAAATGTGTGCCACATAATTTGGAGAGATTCTGATTGAGGTGTGCAGGAAGTCTGGGGAACTATATCTCCTTAGAGGGGAGATTTGAGAAAGTGGCATCATGGCTTTTACCTCTCCTAAAAGATTAAAGTATAGATTGTCTTTAATTTCAACAGCATATTAGAGTCTTTTCTGAACCACTGGGATAAGAAGGACCTATCGTATATCTGTAGAATATATGTATCTTTCTTAAGAAATAGTTTTTTATTGCATTTTTAAATTTTGTGTTACAGAAAAAAGAGTTTGATGTGGACACCCTCAGTAAATCAGAGCTGCGGATGCTGCTAAGTGTGATGGAAGGGGAGCTGGAGGCCAGAGACCTCGTCATTGAGGCCCTGCGGGTAAGAACATTCTGGAGCAAGGTCTCCTTGTGTATCATTCTTTTCTCAAAGGGCTACTAGCAGAGCTGTTTTTAATTTTTAAATCAAATAGATTTGAAATGTTCCATCAGGATAAAATGTGCCCCTCACTCCGGACACCAACCCTTTATAAGCTTGTAAACAAACACTGAAGTCAAATGGCTCTTTACATGTTGGGGATTGGGAATAAACTGTTGACTATGGAAGGCTTGAGAATCAGTTGTATTATTCCAGCAATTTTTTTTGTTGTTTCACATACTTATTTGGTTAAAGACATATTTTTAGAAGACTGGTAATTTAGTTTCTTGCATTGGTTATGTTGGCAGTGAGGAAAAATAAAGAGTCATTTATAAAAAAAAAATGTTGCTGATACTAGATCATTTTTCTTCCTAGATAAATGACAAATAATTTTTTTATTTTCAGAAATTTAGTGTTTAAAAAGTCTATAAATATATCTATATTTACATAAACATATAAACACTTATAACTTTCAATAGGTTATTATTTTTATCTGATCTTACAATAATTTAAAACTATTTCCATAGTATTGCAAAGAATATGTTAAATGTCTTAATTTTTCTTTTTGCCTTCAGTATATTTTCACAGAATTGAAGTTGATACAGTAGATGTATGACGACCCCTCAATTTGGTGTCAGAAAAGTGGGGAGTATATTTGTACCATCTGCAGACCAATATTGAGCTGAAGGTGTTGCTTTTTGAATAAGTTTAAATAGGTGTTTGCAGTTTTGTTATGAGATATGACCATCCTGTTCCACATTAGGAATATACGTATTTTTTGTTTGTTTGTTTTTTAGTATTTTTTTCAGATGTCGATGAACCTTTATTTATTTATTTATTTATACATGGCACTAAGAATTGAACCCAGTGCCTCGCACATGCTAGGCAAGTACTCTACCACTGAGCTACAACCATAGCCCCAGGAACATACATATTCTTGAATGAACTTTTGGGAGAATTGCTGAGGCAGTACATCACTGAGATGTGTGAATTTCAGCTCTAGGACAGGATAAGGGCACAGTCACCAGCTAAGGCAAATAGTATAGCCTCTTAAGACCAAACAGAAGTGAAGAGTTCCACCTCCACCTTAGGGATTTTTCTAATCCTTTCTGTTTACATGTTAAAGGGGTCAACGTTGCACACAAAACGTTTGAAAATTTAGTGAAGTCTGTTTTTTTATGTTGCCTTAGAAACCATACCTATTTCTATTTTTATTTTCTTTGCATTATTATTTAATTTATTTGCATTATCAAATGTAGGAATAGAGATAAAGGCTTAATAGTGACTTGCCAAAGAGAACATTTTTCATAGAATCAAGGAATGTCAGAATTACAAGAAGCCTCACTTGATATCATAGACCAGAGGTTTGCATCCCTATCAGATCTTCTGTCTCATTTTTTATAAAATATTATTTACTATGCTTCCCTGAAATTTATGGATAATTGTATGTGTAAGTGAATTATACTAAAAATTAAACCAAATACATGACACAATACACTATGATATAAAGAAAATAGGAAATTAATTATAATTGGATGTATTTCCAACATAAATACTAAAGTATAACTATACTGGAAGGCATGAAAAAGTAGATGGCCTTTTGAACTATGTATACACTAGTTATAAAAGAATTCTGATCCTAGTGTGCCATAACATTGACTCAGATGCAGTGAGGTGACTTTTTAAATCAGAGAATGACTTTAGGTAAAGTTTAGCAAAAGTGAACATTTATATAGGAGTTGAAACCCTGGAAGATTCAGTTTATTAAAACAACTTGTTAAGGTACATGGAATTACTCTCCTGGCTTGAATGTGTGAACTGAAGGTTCTAATGAAAGGAATGTGTAGAGGAACATTTCAAAGTTTGGGGGGACCTAGGACACTTTCGGGATCAGTGCCCAACCCTTCTCCCTACCCCATAAGGGCCAATTACTGTGAAAACTAAACATACTCTTGCTTGTATCCATAGCACCTTGGAGGGCACTTGTGGAGCACTGGCTAAGACCAGACTCCTTTGTTTATAGATTAAAACCAACCAAACAAAAAGGAAGCCCAAAGAGATGCTGATCTGTCTAAGATCACAATGTGATGTGCATGGGAGTCTTCTAGGTTCATTTTCACACAACCTCCCTTGGGGAACTCAGTGTATATGGAGATTTTCAAAAACTTTCTTTTTCTTTAATTATGATGATGTGATATATTTACATATTTATGACCCTGTTTTTAAGAATAGGTAATAATGTCATCTTCATATACCAATGGTAGCCAGCATAGACCCTCTGTGGTGATTTACTGATTGACTGTTTATTCCCTGGAGCATTCATCATAACTACTGAAATATTTACTTAGATCCACATGTGTCATTTAGTTGCCTTTCCCTCCCACATTTCTTTTTTATTTAATACAATATTTTTATTGAAGGGGAAATTGTATTTTAAAAAGTAATATTAATTACTTAAATTGAATTGCAAAACTCTGAACTGAAGTCCACCTTAATCTCATAGAAAACATTTTGTCAATGATTGCCTCTCATTCACATGAGATAGCAGTACATATTTGAATAAGTATATATGTTCAAATGAAGCCCAGAAGGAAATATTTTGGAGTTTTATTAGAGGATATATTAAAAGAGAAGCAGCAATAGCAAGATAGCCACAGAGCCTTTTGAGTTAAATTTAATTGAATATTCAAAATTCGAGTGCACAATTTAATCCAGAAATTAGCAATTCAAGGATAATTGTTCAGATTGCTGTCTTTTGGCCTGCATTTCTTGTCCCCCCTCTTACTACAAGTATTTTTGTTAGTTTCTTAGTCAAAGGGAAACAAAGACAAGATGATGAAAATGATATAATTATAAAACTTTAAAATGACAAAATTATGTGTTTTAGCCTGCATGTAGAGGGTTCAGCCTGCTATCATTAGCATGAGTTTGCATGAATATTTTTTCATTGAAATAGTGACTGTCTTCAGTGGTTACCTTCGGATTTCCTCCATACCTTTTATTTTCTTTTAGGTTAAATAAATGAGAAATGACTGTATTAAAGATATGGCAGTTCTTCCTCCTAACCTTCATTGATAGACTAACTGTATAGTCCAGACTTCCAATTATTGTTTGCATTGAATTTTTTTTTAATTAGCCAGCTCAACAGTTCTTCAGATAGAATGAATTTATAGCTCTGATAACATTGAGGACTATCAGATCATAGAATTGCCTTGTACAAGCAACCGTAGCAAAGAAACCCAATACACCATAGAAATTGATTTCTCTCTCTCTCTCTCTCTCTCTCTCTCTCTGTCTCTCTGTCTCTGTCTCTCTCTCTCTCTCTCTCTCATGACATTCTGGAGTGAGTGATCCCAACTGGAGGGGCAGCTCTATGTTGAGTAGTCATTCAGCAGCCCAGGTTATTTCTGTGTCTTAACTCTCCTTAGGGAGTTATCCTCATCTGTGTGGTTGAAACTGGATCAAAGCCAGCTCCACATCTTAGTGTGTGGTTAGGAGAGAGAGGAAGTGGAAGGCAAGTAACTTCCCTTGAGCACAAGCTTTCTTCTATATAGGGCACTGAGGAGCATTAGAGAGAAATTGTGAACACATCTAGTTGCATAGAAGACTGGAAAATGGCACTGGCTTGCCACTCTGTGGAAGAAGAGGGGACTTTAGAGAACCTTAACAACCTATGAAAGACCAAGAAAGAGGGCTCTTATCCTGGTATAATCATATGAAGCATCCTAGATAGGATAACATAGGATACATATCCTTCTCTCTCACTTTCCCTCAGTATTTGTTCAGGACGAAGCACATGTAAGTGGAGGTGTATTATGCCAAAAATTGTGTCTCTTTAGAAAGTTGTATCCTAACTTAGTATGTTTTAAAAATAATCTGAATAATGTCATTTTGATCCTACTGTTAACTTAGTATGTTCAGAGTTTGCCTGGAATCATCTTTTCAGAAACTTGATCTATTCTTTGAATTCAAAATTCAATGTTAAAGCTTTTAAATGATTTTTCTTTAAATTAAAATAGGTTTCTCAACTTCATTCCTGTTGATATATGAGACTGGATAATTTTTATGGTAGAGGGAGCCGTCCTGTATGTCACAGATATTCAGAAGCATCCTACCATGGCCCCTTCACTCATGACAACCAAAGAAGGTCTCCTCATTAGGGAAAAAATGTTGCCCCAACATGTTGCCCTACTTGGGAAACACTGCTTTAAAGCAACACTGGTCAAAGAAATGCTGCTTTTAAAAATGTTTGCTAGAATGAATGTAAGAACTCAAAGTTGATTCAAATATGTCACATTATGATACAATGATTTTCTTGTGAAACTTTGACTCTTTGAAACTAAAAGTTAACCTGAAAATGTGCCTTTAACAAATTCCATGATCCTTTTGAAACATGCCTCATATTTTACTATTTAAAATTACGGCCTAGTTTTTTATGCAGAACTTATTTTTTCCTTTTTCTTTCTTTCTTTCTTTCTTTTTTTTTTTTCCATACAGTATTGAGGATTGAACCCTAAACCTCATGCATGCCATGCAAGTGCTCTATCATTAAGCAACAGTCCCAGCCGACTAAATGTCTTATTTTTCAAATTGAAAAGCCTTTTATGGTTCATGGCTCAGTGCTGGAATCTTGACATAAAACAGAGGCAGTCTATTTTTGCAGGACAGGGGATTGAACCCAGAACTTCTTGGGTGCTAGGCAAGTGCTCTACCACTGAGCTACATCTCCAGCCCCAAAGGGATATCTCTTTAAGTAGAAGAATGCTTTCACTTTAATTTTCAAAGTAGCTACTGGATTGTGTATTTCTCATATGTCACGTCTGTTAAATATTGAGAAAAGAATGACAGTCTCACTTTTTATTCATTTCAACATGCAGCCTTTTGTATTTCAAAATTCTCCTAGGAATGCAGACAATTGATTGACCAAGACATACACCTTCTTTATGCTGTTCATTTTAATGAAT